GAAGTACACTGCTGAGGGGAGCAGCGGGCGGGTCAGGAGAGGTCTGCCACACCATGTGGTCACCTCCAGGGCAGGCGGGAATTGAACTCATGCAGAAGCGGCTTTAGATTCTCAGTGCTGTGCTTTAACCCGCTGCGCCACCAGGGAGGGCCGAAAACTTTTTTTTTTTTTAAAGAATAAAAGTATTCCATCTTTCCCCTCACTAGTTTAAAATGATACTTTTACTAAATGTCCATATTAATGCTATCATTTTAAGTTATAAATTAAAAAAATCACTCTAGTTCCTAATAAGCAAAATTATTGAATCCAATTTCAAAAAAAAAAAAAAAGATTTTATTTATTTATGCACACAGAACTGGAGTGCAGGCCTGAGGTGCAAGGGTGGTGAGAGGATTCACCAGAGACAGAGTGGGGAGCAGAACAGGCTGATTGACGAAGTACACTGTTGAGGGTCAGGAGAGGTCTGCTGCTCTGTGTGGGTCACTTCCAGGGATAGGGAGCAAACTCCCACTGATGTGGACACAGCCAGCTTTACAGTGCTGCATTCCAACCCACTGCGCCACCAGGGAGGGCCCTGAATCCAATTTTTAGAACAATGATTTTGCTCCGTTTTAACACATTTTTCTTCTTAGATTTGGCAGGACAAAAGATACACATTTGTTGATTGTTTTTATAGTCCCCGAAAATTTTAAAGGTATGTGTCTGCTGGATATATTGTTTGTTTTCTCTCTGGATAAAAATCGAAGATCAATATTAAATACAATGATTTTTAGGTTGTATTTCAGTACATGGAGCTGATATTACTTTAACTGAGCCATTGACAATGGAAAAAATGAGTATTGTGCTAAAATACTGGAAAACATATTTCTCAAATACTGGTGAGTAAAAAAAAAAATGCCAAGTTTTGAAAATTCTAGTTAAAATTCTGCAAAAATTATGTATATATTTTTAACTTCACACCTTTTATTTTCTAAGGATTAACTGTAAATTGTATATATTGTTATAGTCTGAATTAAACAAGTATGAATAAAATAAAGGAAAACATATTTTTTACCTATGGAAAAAAACTTTCTATCTTTAGATGTTTAAAAGGTGTTGCTCAAGGCAAATATAGCTTTGTGGTACATATAGGGTTTTCTGGTAGTGAGACTGCATTACTTTACTTAGTCATAAATGGAATTAGCCATTCTATGGTGTATAATTGTCTAAAAGACAAGGATACTAACCTTGAATTATCATCTGTTTACTGCTTTGCAAAACACTTACATATAAATTACTTTTAAATACTAGATATTGTCACTAATATGTTGAATGTAAAATAACAGACTATATAGTCAGAAAGACTAACTTAAAATCAAACACTTGTTAGCTGGCTAAAGAACTGAAACACCAAAGTTGGGGAGGATTAAGAACAAAGAGGGTAGGATACATTGGTCCAATGTGTTGGAATATGGGTAAGCAGGTGCACTGTGGTGGTAATACAGGATAGGGATATCCTAATAGCACCACAGTTAAAATGTAATTAATTAAAAAGGAATATCTTAATAAATTTACTGATTAAAAAATGACTTATTTATGTTAATAGGGTGGTTATCCTTTGTTTTATATTTTTTGACACAGATAATTAGTGTCAGTGCTTTGATTAGACCTGTCACTTTAAAACAATTCATCTGTATTGTACTATGCATATTGCTGTCATCTAAATACATGAGCTAATTAAGTGAGCTTTAATTTTACTTGTAATAGGAGACTCTAATTTCCAAAATTCTATTGAAATAATTGTTGGTCAATGACTAGTTAGGCTTTTCCAGAATTGGAATACAAGCTAGGAAATCTCAAATTAAGATGATAATTTCTTGAGTGGGCCTCATGTTACTTTCAGGGTTGTCCTGGAGTTCATACTTCAGATGATACAGGATTTTGCATACTCTGCCTTTTTTTAAATGTTCTTTTTTAACACACAGGAGAGATTAGTGAGTCTGTTTTGTAACATTCCAGTGGCACCCAGACTCTACAGTTTCAGAGCTCTTCCTGGAAATGACTGACTGTGGTGACCGCAGTCCTGTCGGCAGCCTCTTTCTGACTTGGTGCACAGTGGCCGTAAAGCAGCTGCACCTCACCACCTGTCTAGCACCATTCTATTGGTCACAGCCATGTCTGCTGTAGTCGTCTCATCTTTGCAGTGAAGATGAACAGCTGCAAAACCAAAAAACAGAAAAAGCCCAGCAAAACTATCAGATGCCATGTTTTAAAAGTGCAGCTGCCTGTTGAAGACACATATATATTTTCTGTCTCCAACACTTACCTATAAATAAGAACTTAATAAGTAAATTCAGTTAAAGATGTCTTGAGCGAACTATTGCTAACTTCCTAGAATCTTGCGGAATGGGGTAAAAATAGGATATAGTATTTTAATTGTGTTTTCTGAACTGGGTGCATACTTCACAGATTCAAACCAACACCTGTAGTCTATTTTAAAAATATGTATTTGGTAAAATCTATGGAGTAAAAACAGATAATTGCTTTTGATTAAGGTTGTGTTGTGATTAATATCATATTCACCAGTGATTTTTAGAATGAAAATGATTCTTTTTTGAAAACTTTCAGTTAAGAATGAAAATTGTATGAAACCTGAAGAACATGGATTGCCCCTGCAGAAATCCTGCAGTGAACACCTGGGGTATTTTTCTACTGATCTGTTTGCTTGGTTAGTTTTGTCCCCTGATTTTTCATAATAGTGATTTTTTATTATGAACATTTTGTTAAAAATTTGTTTTTGAGAAATTGTTGCTTAGGAAACACTAACTCAAGGGCTGGTCTTATGAAAAAAAAAGATAAGGCTACCTTGTAGAAGAGGGATACAGCTTTTTCTATATTTCAAAATCCTGCGTTGGAACTATGGTTACACATTACAGAAGTATTCAGCTCAACATAAGGAAGCACTTCATAACAGTCACACCGACCATGGCGGAGCAAGTTGAATAGTAAGACAGGACGTTTCCCATTACTGGGCACATTAAAGTGGAACCTGGGTTATCACCAATGAAAGCTAAATAATAGGAATGACATTTGAACTTTTTGAAAATAGTAGAGTCTTTTCTACTATCAAAATGTTGCATATAATTCCACAATTTAAGTCGTTAAGAGCAGCCTCAACTGTTTTCCAGCTACCACTAAGCTTGTCCTGATTGGTTTTTTTTAATTCATAAAGCTATTCCTCCAAATTATTGAAAACAACCCCTAAAAGTCTCTCTGCTCTCCATCTCTCTCTCTCTCATAGATTTTTTTTAAAACTTGCCTTCAACCCTGCTTTGAATATGCAGTTGAACCAGGGTCAGTTTTATACCCTTCCAATGCTAGCATTATATTCTTACAAAAACTCAATTTCATTGCTTCAGGTTGATCTCTAAGGAGGCTTTAAATAGACAATAGACACAGGGCTAAAAGAATGTACACAACTGTTGAGGAGATGGGTGATGATAGTGAGAATTTGAGTTGGTCATTTTTGGAATTTGTAGAATGTGCCCATCAACTATTTGTAGAAATGTGACCATCAACTGTTTTGACCAAGGAAGAACCTTGACAAGTAATAATTGTACTTAAATGACTAAAGTTGCATGCACTTAACTAGTGCAGATATATCAATGGCTTTTTTGAACTCATTTAAGATTTTAACCTCAGTGAAATTTATGGCATTTAACCTTATCTGGGATATGTCAGAAAGGGTTTTGAAAGACTTTGTGATTTTTTTTTTATTAATTGCAGTTGCTTTTTGAATTCATCATGAATCTTTGATTTTCTTTAGAATTCTGTTACTATAAATAAAAGTAAAATTTCAAATCAAGCTATGTCCTGAGTGATAAAGGAGAAAATACTAATTTTTAAGTTTGTTAGTGATTTTTTTTTAAATCTATAAAAATGCCTAGAATTTTAAGAGTAGGTGGAGTGAAAAATGTCCATTAAGTGACAGTTTTTTAAATGAAGGGAACGTGACCTTTTTCACTCAAGTTGGGATAGTGTATTTTTACCCTCTAGTCCTTTGTGTTTTTCTTCCTGTAGTAACCTTTAAATATCGTCACATTATTGGATATAGTCATACTCAACGAGATCAGAATATTTTAATCAGCTTGTGTCTGTTGTTGTTTGTCAGTATATTTTAGAATTTTTAAAGTTATTGAACTAATGATGATCTTCATATTAATTATTTTGAGAATTTGAAATGAAAAATTCTGTACCAGATTTGTAAGAGAAAGTACATTGATACTTATTGTACATTTCTATGAAACAAAAGACTTAGAGAAGCATCCTTTTATTAATGTGTTGGTGCTTGATTTAATATTGCCTAATAATTTTCCTCTTACATGTATTTTATTTTTCTTGTTTCTAGCTCAGAATATCTAAGAAATGACATTGGGTTTGAATTAAAGTCTCCATTGTCAGATTTTGAGAAAAACAAAAAGAGTTCTTTTCTTCATTCAAGCAAGGAAAAGCTAAGAAGGTGAATTTTGATACAGCTCTGTTTAAGCATGATTCTTTGTAAGAAAAAAAAAGTTTCATGAATTTCATAATTTTTTGTACTTTTGTTAAAGTACTAGAAATCTCGCAACTTGCCATTTATTCATTTACAAATGAAATAGCATTCTATAATTTTGTCATTCAACAAATAGTAGTATTAGACTGTGAGAACATGACTAGGGAACTGGGTAAAGAATAAATTTTTGCTTTCAAGGAGGTCTTGACTACTTCTAATACCTGCAAATAGGCTACTAATTAGAAAACTGTGTTTTAACAAATGGCATATTAGAGAAGGATATAACATGAACACACTAGGAAAATTACCCAAGGAATAAAGGGTCTGGAATAAAGGGTCTGGGAAAGTTTTTTTTTTTTTAGGTGATAGCTAAATTGAGCTTTAAGCAAAAAGTCACCTTTATTTGGTTTAGAAGTCAGAGAAGGACATTTCATATAGCAAGACAACCAGGTGAGAGGCTGGCAGTATGAGAAGTAACGTGAATTTATGAAACTGAATGTATTGTTCTGTAGTTGGATCTGAAGGCGTAAGCAAGAAGTGGCAAAAGATGAGAGGTAACAGGTAAGAGCTAGGTATATAGCATGCTAAGAAATTTTAATTTCAACCTGAATTGCTGAGGAGGAACTGAAGGATTTATCAAAGGAGTGATATAAGATTTATACCTTAGAATGAAGATTCTAACAAGATGTTAGAAAGCAAATTGATTCTTCATTAGAGCCTCTAATAAGAAATGATGAAATCCTGAATTCTGGTGACAGAAATGGGATAGTGAGGAGAAAAACAATCATTAGCTAATATTAACTAGGTAGAATCTGTATGAGCATGGCTGAAGCAGGAGTCAAATGTGACTTCCAAGTAGGTAATGGAAACATCATCTGCATGGGAAATACTGTGGAACAGCATTCTGGCAGTGGGAATTGTTTTTGTTTTTATTGTGCTTGAACACATACTTCCAGGTTTAAATGGAGATGATGTAGTACACAGCTGGCTTTTAGATTCCAGAGAAAGATCCAGGCTAGATTTAGTCATTTGTGTATAGTATCTATTTGAAGCAGTGGATCTAGAGATGGATATGAGGACTTTGAAAAGCATATAGGAAAGAGACAAGTGGAGAAGAGAACCTATACATTTTGCTGAATATGTTATGAAAGAAAAAAGTGGGTATATTTACAGTGACATACTATGCAATTTATAGCTTATGATTATATTCTCAGTGTTTTGATATTAGAATTGTGATATTAGTAAATGCTTTCAATGAAGTGGTAATTGGGAAGTGGTACATTTTTTATTATTTGCATTTAGAGATTTCTTTTTTTTTAAGATTTGTTTATGCTTACAGAACTGGGGTATAGGCCAGAGGTGTGGTGGGTGAGGGGACCCACCAGAGATAGACTAGGGAGCAGAACAGGCAGATCTATTAAAATACACTGCAGATGGCCCTCCCTGGTGGTGTAGCAGGTTAAAGCACAGCACTAAGAAGCTGAAGCCACTTCCGCATGAGTTCGATTCCCGCCTGCCCCGGAGGTGACCACATGGCGCGGCAGACCTCTCCTGACCCGCCCACTGCTCCCCTCAGCAGTGTACTTTGTCGATCTGCCTCTTCTGCTCCCCGCTCTGTCTCTGGTGAAGCCTCTCACCGCCCCTGAGCCTCTGGCCTGTACCCCAGTTCTGTATGTACAAATAAATAAATCTTTAAAAAAAAATACACTGCAGATGGGGAGCAGTGGGCAGGTCAGGATAGGTCTGCCACACAATCTGGTCAGCTCCCTGGTCAGGGACTGAACTCATGCTACAGTGGCTTCAGGGAGCTTCCTAATGAGGTGCTTTAACCTTGTGCACCACCAGAAAAAGCCCTTCTTTTAAAAGAATTTTATCTTCTCTTTTATGTACAGTTTAATAAAATTTAGGCATCTAATTCTAAATTCCTGGTGAGATCCCTTTACTATATGTTTTAAATACACGGGTATGATATTTTTGCCTTGTTACAGTGTATTTTCCAAAGTGATGGCAATTCAAGAAAGTAAACACAGTTCTCAGAGAGTCCCAAGTTGTATCTGGCTATGAGATCTCTCTCTGTGAGTTCTTACTTGTTTGAGACACAACTGTACAGAGGAGAGATTCAAGGACTTAGTTTAAACCTAGACCTCTGCCTTTAGATCCCCTTGAGTCTCTCAGAATTACTCTAAACTAGGAAGGAATGAAATTGGTTTCTGTGGTAGAAAACAAAGACAAAGCCTGCTCTTTAACTTATGACCAACTGCTGCTTCCATACACAAAAGTAAAAGAAAAAGACAAGACCACAAGGCGTCAGCAAACCCTGTAATCTTCTTTGAATGAACACTAATATCCTTTCAGAAAGTTTATTTTTTCCTCATTCTTTTCTGTCAAAAAATTATCATATAATTAATATGCAATAAAATGCAATGGGAGATTGGGTGCCTTGCCTTGTTGGCCAGCCTTTCCTTAAAGTACAACTGAAAAACAGCCATGACCCACACATGTATCTCAACAGCTCATCATTTTGCTCCTTCCATCTACTATTTTGCTGTCTGAGATGGGTGCTTTATTACTTAATAAGGTTTTAGAGCAGGGAAAGGGGAGTGGAGCCTTGGACACACTGGCAGTCATTCCTGGTAAAAGAATGTAAACTAGCTGGCATGAGTTTTTGTGTGCCCAGAAACACAAGGGACCTCTGCAGTAATTGCAAACTACTGTTGTGCTTCTTGCTGAACCTTGGGATGAATCAGTCAGTGCCAGACACCCTGGGATGGATCAGTCAGTGCCAGACATTGATCTGGTTCTAGTGTAAGTAGTGGCAGAACATCATCCCACATCCTTTAGGAAGTGAGGTATTCTGAGGCTGAAGAAACATCTGCTGTCAACACTAGAATCCCACAATACTGGGAAGCAGGTCCTAGGCATGGAATGGAGCTTGATCTGACTACAGTGCTAGAAACAGAGCTATAGGTTCCCCAGCCCTGGTGTGATCCCCTCCCCTCCAAGCTGAAAACACTCAAGCAAGTAAGCTTTACTCCTCAGAGTCTCTCCTACTACTACCTCAATAAGCTAGGAAGATCTCACAACTAAAACCACAGTACTACTGAGGGGGAAAAGGGAACAACCATGTGGGAAAAAAAAAAGATCAACCAAGGGAACACAATATGGAAACAGACTATGGAGCTGAATTCAAGCTTCATGACTTAGAACTACCAAAGAATTTAGAATTGTAATCATTAAGAGGCTTAACAAAATTTGATACTTGTAATTAAACACAGAAATTAGGTCATCAGAAGGACATCAGAAAAGATATTCAGAAACAAAAGGAATTTGTTACCAAAGAAATTTAAACTATATAAAAAAAAAGCAAAAATTATGGATGGGAGGAATAAAACAAAAGAACTGAAAACAACCATGTAAAGCATAGTAAGTAGGCTAAATCTTACAGAGGAAAAGATCTCAAATCTAGATAAAATTTTTAAAAATAACTTGAAGAGAAGAGAGAAATAAAACTTTGGGGAAATGAAGAAACCCTCATGAAATATCAGATTACATTAGAAGAGTAACCATCAGGATAATGGGTATCCCTAAAAGTGAAGATAAAGACCAGAGACACTATTCAAATAATAGCTAAGAACTTTAAATTTAAGGAAAAGAACTAAGCTTAGATATCCAGGAAGCAGACAGAAAACCAAAACACTGAATGTGAAATGACTTCCCACAATACACATCGTTGTTAAAGTATCATAAGTCAAAGAAAAAAATATTGGAGAGTGCTGGGTGGATTTGTAGGGAAGCATGTAACATAAAAAAAGGCATCTCAACTATGAAGTCATCTGATTTCTTAGTAGAAATTCTACAGAATAACATTCACAATTTTAAAAAATAGCTATTAGCTAAGAATACTGTATCCTGAAACAGTACTGAAATATGATGGAAAAATAATTTCATGGACATAAACTACTAGAGTTTACTATACCAGTGCTACTCTATAAGAAATGTTGAAAGAAGTTGTATATGAAGAGAAAGATGAAAACACCTGAGCAAGGTGATAAATAGAAACACAAAATTAGAAACAAACAAGAACAATGTGAGATGAAATATTAAAGCTGAGGAAGAAATGGACTATAGTCCATGGAATCTATAGTCATGGCTATTTTTTAGTTACAGAATAATATAACCCACATGGAAACCACAAAACAAAAACTGGAGCAGAGAAATTTAGAAGAAATGAAGAATCTGAGAGAACCGCCAGGGAAAGCCATCCAAATAAAAGACAGAAACACTTAAAAAAGTTAGCTTCAGAAAGATAAAGTAACAAAAAACAAAACAAAAAACCAGTACAATGTCAGTAAATAAACCCCATATTTCAATAATGACCCTAAACACGAGTGGTCTGAATTCACCAGTAAAAATACATGAAAGATACAGAATTGTATAAAAAAGCATGATCCATCACTAATAAGCATACAGAGATCTTACATCAGATCTAAAGATAAGCATAGTGAAAGAATGGAGCAAGGAATTCCAAGCCAACAACAGAAATCAGCAGAACTGTTACTCTCATATCTGATAAAGTAATACTTTTAGTCAAAAAAAGGTAATTAGTGGCAAAGATGGCAGTGATATTTTCACAAGGTGACAATTTGAAGAAGATATAATTATCATAAATATTTACACACCTAACATAAGTACACCCTAGTATATAAACAATTAACAGATTTGACAGCAACACAGTAATAGTAAGGGATCTCAACAAACCACTTAAATCAGTGAATAGACCATCCAGATAGAAGTAAATAGGGAAAGATGGCCTTAAGTAATGTATAGAATGGACATAATATACATAGCTTTCCATCTGCCACAAAATTGATATACATTCTTAATGTTCACTTGGAACATTGTCAAGGATAGATTATACACTGGGGCACAAAATAAGCCTCAAAAATACATGAAGATGAACTTTACAC